AGCTTCACGGGCGCAGCCACCTCCATTGGGGAGCAGCCCCTCAAGGGCCTGATCGATCCGGAGGCCATGGCGCGCCTCTCACTCGGGGAGGCCATCACAAACCTCTGCCTGGTGCGGCCCCCAGCCCCAAAACACCCCACACACACCCGCCGCACGGGCTGCCGCTCTGCCTCTCCACCCTGCACCTTGGTTTCCTGCGGCATTCCATCGCGTATTCCAGTTGTTGCTTGTGATCGTGCTAGCCGTGGCTCTGTCCAGGCCCCTTTGTCGCACCTCACCCCTACCGGCTTGCGCGGGCCCCGTCGGTCCCTCCCCCAGGCGCGCGCCACGGCCCTGGGTGACATCAAGGCCAGCGTCAACTGGATGTACGCCGCCAAGATGGGCAGTGAGGGCGCAGACATGTACAACGCCGCCTGCGCCATCAGGTGGGTTGAGGGCTCAGGTGGCGCGCCGCCCTTTTTCCTCCCCTAATCACTACACAATCCCACACATCTAAGGGTGACATTGATGAATTTTCTCCCCAATCTCTTGACCACAAGCTGGAGGGGAAGGTGTCGTGCGTGGAGGTGTTGTTGAGGTCCTGCGTGTCCTGCCTTGGGCTGCCTTGGGAGTGGCCCAAGGCGTGCGCTGCGTGGCGTGTGGCAACCGGTGCCGTGATGATACACCCCATTAAGCCAGTTCTGCTACTGAGACAACCGTGCTGAGCTGTTGGGACATCCTGTCTGAGCACCACGCGACCATGGGCGTCGCAATAAAGTAGTCTTATTCGTGTTTATCTCGTGTATCTGTTTGTGGGGGAGTGTGTGTGTGATTTTGATAGTTCCGTGTGTCTCGCCAGCGCCTGGTTGGCCCGCCCGCTGTCAGGGGGCTCATGTCCTGCATGGCCTTGCAACAGGTAGAGCTCTCTTACAGCGGTACGGCTGTTGCTGCACGAACTTTACACCCAGGCTTGTGAAACCGGTTGCTCCCAGCAAGTGTGTGGGCCGAACCAGCTGGGGCGCTTCCTTTTCTTGCACCCCTCCCTTCGCAAGGTCGCCGCTGATGAGAACACAGCCTCATTCATGCGTGTCAGTTGAGGCGCCTGCGCCCGGGGCTACCCCGGGCCCGCGCGCCACTGATATTATCCTAATCTTCTCTCTGAGGCGACCTTTTTTGAGCTGGCCAGTGCACGCAGCCCACTTGCGTCGTCGCACTCAACTGTCACCCTGGCTTACCACTGTCGAGTTTTGGGGACTTGGCTGTGCCCTTCCATCCTGTACAGGGGCGTGTCAGCCTGATCATGTGCTCGGTCCACACCTCCCCGTACACGGGCGGCTCTTGACTCTCTCTCCAATTCACGGGGCCTGTTTCAGCACGACTCTCAGCACATGCGCGGATGGGCGGCCGGCCGGTGATGCACAATCGATATTTGCTACTCTCGAGGTCACCCTGTGACGAAACTTTTCCACCAAGATCTCTGAGGCCCCCGCCGCTCCCATGCACCCGCGTGTTTGTTCAATTTTTCCACATCTGTCTTGCATGCCTCTATTCCATCCACGAGGCCCCTTCTGCGCTCACTTGCGGCGACGGCAGTATCGTCTTGCTTCTTCACCCGCAGCCACGGACCCCACACATGTCGTCATCCTGGCCAGACGCCATCCTCTCGCCTCGGTCAAACGTCGATCAAACATGTCCTGTACCTGCGTCCCCACCCACCCACCCCCAGGGACGCCATGATCGAGCTGCAGCTGGCCTGCGACGGCGGCAAGGACTCCCTGTCCATGGCGGCCGCAGCAGGGGGGGAGACGGTGATGGCGCCCGGCAACCTGGTGGTGTCAGCCTACGTGGGCTGCCCCGACATCACCAAGGTGCGGGGCTGCCCCCACAAGCGGCCCCAGTGATACCCGCGCACCCGCAGGCAGGGCAGCGTGTGATGGTTTGCGGCTGTAGGCTCGCAGCTGCTCGTCAAGGAATTGTGTGCCTAATGTCGGGCCTCGCAGGGGATAACTGCACTGCAACCAGGCATACGCAATCTCCAAACTTGACGATTGCCATGTTCAAGTGAGGGAAGCCCCCTCCCTTGGACCACACTCACATTCGTTGTGCAAACGTACACTCTCCACCTGGCAGCAACCACCAACCCTCACCAACCCTCATCAACCCACATCACGCACGCCCGCCTTGGCGCCCCAGGTCGCCACCCCGGACCTGAAGCTGGCCCAGTCTGGCGGGGTGCTGTTGCACGTAGATCTCGCGAACGGGCTCAGGCGCCTCGGAGGCAGCGCCCTCGCTCAGGCGTACGCGCAGGTGTGGCCGCCCTGTTGCGGGCGCCGACGGGCGGGGGCCGGGCTGGGCGACTGTCGATTGCGGCTGTGCCCGAGCGCGGAGCCGCATTGGTGCGGTATTGGTGGATGTGCCTTCATAGTGCTCCTGGCAAGCAGTGTGTGTTGCGCACAATATCAAAGCCCCAGAGCCCGACACACACACACGCGCGCGCGCACTTCATACAGTTGGGTGACGAGAGCCCAGATGTGGACCCGGCCCAGCTCAAGGGCATGTGGGGCGCCATCCAGGTGGGGGGGCGGCTGCCGTTGAGGACAAACAGCTGCATCATGCGCTGACCTCCGCGCCTTCTGTTGCCTGCGTTTCCAGAGCGATTTTCTCCTTGTTCAAGTCCTTGGGCTTGCACTGCTGTACCCTGATGCGTTTTCATTGCTGCTCGAGACGGGTGATCCTGAGGGGGCTCGGCCAACCTGAAACAACCCCGCACACACACACACACACCGCGTTCCCCCGTCTCCCCAAAGGCACTCCTGGAGCGCCGCACCGTCAGCGCGGGCCACGACATCAGCGACGGCGGCATCGCAACCACGCTGCTGGAGATGGCCTTCGCGGGTGCGCATTCCTGTCGCCCTCTCGCGCCCCGCACAATCTTGCAGCGCGTTTCACAGCCTTTTCATCGTTTTGAATCACCGTGTATGAGTGATCGCAACATACGTGCTGGTCATTGGTTTTCCGCAATGTCTTGGGCAGGAGGGGGGGGCGTGGGTATGGGGCTGGCGGCCAGGCGCTTCCCACCTCAAGGGCAGGGGCCTGCGTGTTGTGGCTTTGGAGGCTCAGAGGAGCTGGTCTTTAGCGACCTCGATGATGACCAGTCCCCTTGCAGCCCCTCAAATCCCTGCCGCTGGCCGTCACCCCGGGCCCTCTCGCCCGCCCCATGGAGTGTGAGCAATGCCACCGGCTTTTCTTCCCTCTCCTGCCATGTGCATATGCATGGCCTGCACCGCCGCATCACGCCCCAACGGCGGCTCCAATAGAGTCACTCGCATGCCAAACACCACCGTGGCATGACGCAGCGCTCAAGGCCGCCAACAGCAACCGCCGTGCGCGGCTCATGTCGCCGGCCCCGGCCCCTTGCTGCCGCCGCCGCTGTCCCCGCCCGCCCATCCCAACACCGCGAACCAGCACCCACCTTAGCCCATCATTCTGAAACGAGCGCCACCTTACCCGGCCTGACTTCCCCTGCACGTGTGACCCAGCCGACTGCCAACCCTCTCTCAACCGCCTTGCAACCGCCCAGGCAATTGCGGCCTGAGCGTGGACCTGCCCCTGCCCACCAACCAGCTGCCCGAGGGCCAGGCCGCGCTGGCGGCGCTGTTTGCTGAGGAGCTCGGCCTGGTGCTGGAGGTGGGCATTCTGGTCTGCGGACTGGACTGCGGGTTGTCTTGGACTGATTCGGCCCAGCAGCATCGCCGGACTCTGGAGGTTCTTGAAGTCGCAGCCGTGCACACTGGCCTGCTGTCACGAGACGCAGTGACCCCGGCCCCCCAGAACAGCCTGGAAAACCTGCCCTCGCGGGCAGAAGCGACGCAGTCAGAGCCAGGCCCTGATTCTTTTTTCGACGGCCCTCACCCGTCGGCCCGGTCACCTCCCTCCCTCCCTGCCCCAACCGCCGGCCCCAGGTGTCCCCCGAGGACGCTGACATGGCGTCATCCATCTTCAACCAGGCCGGGGTGCCCTGCGCCATCATCGGCCGGGTGGGTGGACTGTCACAGGGCGTCCTGCCAGTCGGCGACGGGGCCGCAATGCGCTCACCACAAGCCTTGCGGCGACAACCGCCAAGCGCTGGGGCGCTTTGCCAGCCGAGCGTTGAAACGTGATCAAACCCCCTCCCGTAGCCCTGATGCTGGTAATCACCCGCGTGCGATTTTCCCCGTCACTACAGGTGACCCCTGACAAGAAGGTTGACATCCGGGTGGGCGGCAAGCCCGCCATCAGCGGCGCGACCCCCGCCTTGCGGGACGTCTGGGAGGAGACAGGCTTTGCCCTGGAGAGGCTGCAGGTGGGGGCGGCGGTTTGTGGGGGGTTCCTAAGAATGACATGGGGGACTCAACACATGCGCTGCCCTGAACTTTCCCAGGTGCCCCTGCCGGCAGGGGCGGAGGAGCGGGCGGTCCTTGGGAATTGGCAGGACGTCCGGGCCCGATTGACTGTCAGGCGTTCTGCGGATATGCAAAGGATTTGTAAGCACCCACAATCCACGCCATTTCCCACCGCCGCCGCCCAGTCTGCGGAGGACACCGTGGCGGAGGAGCAGGCCGGCCTGGCCAAGCGGGAGGCGCACACCTGGGTGTTGCCTTGGCGGCCAGAGTACACCCGTGATGACGTCCTCGCGCGCCCCGACAAGGTGCGGCCGCTTGGGGGAGGTACGCGAGATTGCAACTGTCCTGACCGCCTCGCCTGCCATGGGGCCATCCATGGGCCCACCGCGATGCGTGGCCTCTTCGTCCGTCCCCCGGCCCAAGGGGCGAACGTCCCACCGCCCCCCTTGGACGCACTCGGCCCTAAGCACGCCCTCTCCTCCACCCAAACACACCCTGCTGGTGGCTGCGCCTCTCATGCTATCCAAGGTGCGCGTGGCGGTGATCCGCGAGGAGGGCAGCAACGGCGACCGCGAGATGGCGGCAGCCGTTTACGCGGCCGGCCTGGAGCCCTGGGACATCACCATGAGTGACCTGCTGCAGGTGGGGGGCGTGGGTCATGTGCGTGAGTGTGTGTGTGTGTGCGTGCACGCTTGGCACGGGCAGTGTGGGCACGCGGCGGGCGCTTTCAAGTGTGGGGTCGGCCCCCACGCACGCGGCGCCGCCCCTCACTGCCACCACACCCGCAATCATCACAGCCCAACGGCGCCTCGCCAGTGAACCGAGGACCCCACCACCACCCCCGCCAACAACACCCACAACCTTAGGGCCGCGCGAGCCTGGACAGCTTCAGGGGCCTGATCTTTGTGGGCGGCTTCTCATACGCTGACGTCCTCGACAGCGCCAAGGGCTGGGCAGGTGGGCAGCACTCCTGTCCGTCCAGCACCCAGGCAGCAGCCTGTGTTAGTGTGGGGTCTTCTAGGGGTGCATGCCGAACGCCAGACGCAACCCCCAACTCCCAGGGTGACTCCAACCCGCTCATTTGATGGCTGTGCGCCCC